TAGCCAAATCTTGCAACGTTGGAAGAAATACTAAATAAAGCTGGAGTTGTGAATCAAAGGATTATAGACCCAAGTGCGGGGAAAAAGAGGCAAAGGACAAAAGATAAAGAAGTGAAAAAGGTTGAAAAATTACGGGTCCATATTTGCTTAACAAAAGATCTATTTAATGTTTCTCACTACTACATCTTTTGTCCTTTCTCATCTTTCCCTCCTTTTCCCAAATTTGGGTCTATAATCCTTTGAGTCACAACTCCAGCTTTATTTAATAATCCTCATCTCCAAGTATTTGAAAATATTTTCTTTCCACTCAAAAATAAAATATGAATAAAGGTTTATGGCTTTGTGAACCTTTTTTTTGAGTTTGTGCCATTGAAATAAATAAATAATAAAAAAATTAAAACATTTGTCGGTTTTGTTTACACGTTTATTGGGCCGTGTGAGATCTGAAGGTTCTGGGAAGGATCATTTTAATTAAAATAATAAGTTGGAGAAAAGAATTAAAATAACAGAAAATAATATTTTCAACTTCAACAAGATTTTATCTAAAAACGGAGGAAACATCAGATTTTTGAAAGGAAGCTCAGGATGAGTCAAGTTTTTGCACACGTTATGGAAGACTAAATAAAAGGGCCATTTTCCCGCCTTTCGAGGCAGTCCGTCAAAGGAAGGTTTGCCATACTGAAGAAGAGAACTAGCCATACAACAGAAGCGAACAAAGTTTGCCATACGAAGAACCTGAAATACATTAAGAGGCAGTCTGATAGGAAGAGGTATTGCCATACAAAGAGAATACGGTACAAGTGATCGTCATACAAGACCGACAAGGCCATGCTAGACTGATTAATTGAAGTATAAATATACGACAAGATTGTCAAAGGAGAAAGACCAGAGACCCTCCCATAGAAAAGAGAAGAATATAAATAAAGAAAGAAGAAGATCCTCATACAGAAACAGATATGAAAAATACGGCGAAGGTAATATGGTCTCTAATAGATCGATGTAAACTCTCTCACGCGTTAGGTTAGAAATAAGATAGATAAAGTTAGATTTAGATTAGATTCATTCCTTGTATATTTTATTATTTGATTTATTAAATACTTTGAGTCATTTTATAAAATGGTTTGGTTCTTATTAGACGTTTATTTTCATTCAAGTTTCCTTAGTTCCTCCGATTCCCGAGTTTAAGGATAACGCGTTGTAACGCACCGTTTACGAAAACAAAAAGGGGTTACACAATAGTAGGGTTCAAGTACCAGGCCTGGACTTTCCAAATAAAAAAAACAATAATTTCCACAACCACAGATAATAATTTACAATAAATATGTTTTATTATATTAACAAAAACAATAACGGGTTAATTGACCCAACAGTAAGTTAACTAATTGAATAATTGAAAAGTGGCAATAAAAATCAATAATCAAAGAAAATTGTACTTATAAATCAACAAAACTTTTATCTCCACCTCAAAAGGATTCTATAGCAAAAAGATACGGCTTCCTCTAATTGATCACAGACGTCTCTACCACAGTTTGTCAGCTGAAGCTACCTACCTCTGTAGTGGATCTGCCGCCTTTTATTCACATTGAGTGCAGCTCCGCACTGTCTTAATTTACATAAATTGGTGTTACAGGATCAGGCACTGATGCAAATTAAGTTTGCTTTTTGTTTCTTTTTCACATGTGCTTAGGAATTTGTCCTTAACTAAAAAGAACTCTGAAAAGAAAATAATTAAATAAAAATAACGCCCCAAAACATAAAATAACGATCGGACATTGACTCCTTTACAGCGTGTTAATCTGTGTGTAAAATAACTGATTAACTGGTGTCAAGGAATCCTGACGTATATGTAGACTTCACAGTCCAGATTTTTCCAACTTCATTTACAGCCCTCCTAGAAAAAGATTAGAGATCAAATCTTGCGATTCTGAGTAGTGTAAGTGGTACTCTTGGTTAGTATCCTCAGCTAATCTTACAAGCCGCATTGGAACTTGCCTTGGGCCGCGGATTGGACACCCCTGCTTTAAGGCATCATGAATTGAACCTTGACATCTTGTAACACATAAAATATTTTACTTTTGTAGGATCAGATTTTAATATCCATTTTGACTCTACCATTTTATTAACTGTAAGAACTCTGCTTCTACTCAAACACTAGACCAATGTAACTTTATTTATTTTAGATATGGATAATTGAGTAATTGTTACATCATTCATTAAGAACCATTTTAAGAACTAAAGTTAGTTATTTAGACATGAGATTTGAATGCTTATTTTATATTATATTGTTTCTTATTTATCAAAAGCATGAATATTAAAACATTATATTTAAATTTACATATAATATATAATAATATACAAAAAGAAAATTGTTTTTATTTTTACAGAAAGATATGAAGAAGATGCAAATGATTATTGGAATAAATTTTATAACATTCATCGTAACAGATTTTTTAAGGATCGTCATTGGCTATTTACAGAATTTCCTGAACTTTTATCTCAGAATAAAGAAAGTTTGTATCTAGGGAGAAAACAAGATAATTCATCAAAGGATCAATCTCCATCATTCCAAAATACTTGTGAAAATATTCAAGAAGAAAATAATAAAAAAATAATATTAGAAGTAAGCAAACTTAAATAAAATAAATATGTACTAGTTTTCAAAAATAATCAATGTAGATATATTAAAATGTATAAATTTATAAATCATTTCTCAGTTTTATACATAAATGTATTTGTTTTCTCACAAAGAAATAAGATTTATTCAGTAACATTCAAGATAAATTTTTTGTACATTTGCCATTTACTGAACAAGTACAGTAGCTATTTTTCTTTAATGTTAGAAACAATATTTCTGACTTTTTCTGCTGAATAGATTACTATATTTTGTTTGATAGCTATTTTTATATACAAAAAATTGACATAGGCATGTTTAAAATTCTTTTTGTAATAACTCTAAAACAGAAATTTCAGTACTATAAATGTTAAAATTTTTAATTTTATGTTACTAAATTTTTATCCATAGACATATCAAGAAATTCTAGTTTAAAATTGTATCATTGTATTATAATATTGATAGAATTTTTCAGATCCTGGATATTCCTATAATGTTGAATGTTTTATTAAGAAGGAAATGTTCACTTATGATAAAAACAGTTCCAAGTATATATTTTGTTCAAGTTTTCCTGAAAAGTAATGTCTAAATTTGAAATCTGCAATGCTATGGACACAGGATGAGGAGAAATGAACAATTTATGTATCAGATAAGAGAGCTGCTACATTACATTCAGCACCATCTACTAGTTCTCGTTCTTAAATTTTTTACATATAGCAAGGGTCACCAAACTATGGCCCATGGGCTGGATCTGGCCTACCACTACACCATGCTACAAATGAGCTAAAATATATGAGTAATTATTTATTTGGAAATATAACAGATTGTAGATAAACTTACTATGTAGAAAAAATTCAAATAAGTGCAAATAAAAATGCCCAAATTTGTACAATCTGATTTTGCATCTGACAGTAATATAATTTTTGGGAAAATCAGTGAAATAAAAAATTTGGCGACTTTGGATATCAGTGCTTTTTGTGTAAGTACCTACTATGAAGTTTCTAAGGAAAGCAATTACAAGTCTGCTGCAGCGATCATGTTTTAACTTACATTGTCATGTTTAAAACTATCTTATTGCTAATGTCCTCTATTTTGATAGTAAATAAATATGCTTGTTGTCTTTATTTTTTGTATATTCAGTGTATTGTATTGAACAAAATGGTTATGCAGCCTGCACTCATTATTTTCTCAGTTATCTGGCCCAGTGTGAAAAAAGTTGGTGACCCCTGCATTATAAGGATGAAAACTAGTTGAATGATTGAATAAATTTTATTTTTTAATAGTTTCAAATTAACTGAAGAGCACTTTATGAAAACAAACTACTAGACCAATTACTGGTACATGTAAACACTACTGTTAAACCTTTACTTCTGGTAAGAAATGATACGCAAACAAACAAACGTTTTCAATCTTATTCAAGATTTGTCGCAGGTTTTGGATCACTTGAATTATGGAATGGAAAGATTCCAACATTTTTAAATAATTTGTATTTAAAAATGTTTGAATCTTTCCATTCCTTTTTTCGTAGTTTTATAGGAATCGTAATTATAGGGACCGTAATTATAGGGGGGTCGACTGTAGCTATTTTTCTTTAATGTTAGAAACAATATTTCTGACTTTTTCTGCTGAATAGATTACTATATTTTGTTTGATAGCTATTTTTATATACAAAAAATTGACATAGGCATGTTTAAAATTCTTTTTGTAATAACTCTAAAACAGAAATTTCAGTACTATAAATGTTAAAATTTTTAATTTTATGTTACTAAATTTTTATCCATAGACATATCAAGAAATTCTAGTTTAAAATTGTATCATTGTATTATAATATTGATAGAATTTTTCAGATCCTGGATATTCCTATAATGTTGAATGTTTTATTAAGAAGGAAATGTTCACTTATGATAAAAACAGTTCCAAGTATATATTTTGTTCAAGTTTTCCTGAAAAGTAATGTCTAAATTTGAAATCTGCAATGCTATGGACACAGGATGAGGAGAAATGAACAATTTATGTATCAGATAAGAGAGCTGCTACATTACATTCAGCACCATCTACTAGTTCTCGTTCTTAAATTTTTTACATATAGCAAGGGTCACCAAACTATGGCCCATGGGCTGGATCTGGCCTACCACTACACCATGCTACAAATGAGCTAAAATATATGAGTAATTATTTATTTGGAAATATAACAGATTGTAGATAAACTTACTATGTAGAAAAAATTCAAATAAGTGCAAATAAAAATGCCCAAATTTGTACAATCTGATTTTGCATCTGACAGTAATATAATTTTTGGGAAAATCAGTGAAATAAAAAATTTGGCGACTTTGGATATCAGTGCTTTTTGTGTAAGTACCTACTAAGTAATTACACAGAAGTCGGTAGACACAGGTTTATCTCAGTGCTCATAGTTTCATATTGTAACATAAGGACAAAAAGCAATTCACGAAATCTATTTAATATAAATTATCTAAATGTGTACATTTAGATAATTTATTTTAATTTATAATAATTTATATTAAATCAGTAACAGGAAACAATAGTGGACCTGGCTGCGAATTATTATTATTATTTTTTTTTTTTACAACTCCATATCTGATCTCTACGTTATCCGAATAGGCGGAGTTTACAACACGACGCAACAAGTAAGAGACAGAGCATGTTCGTTTCGTTTGTAATTTGAATTAAGGCTCCAAAAAGGAAAAAGAAGTTAGAAATTACATTTCAGTGATTTTGTTACATATATGTGCAGTATTTAAAAGCGTACAAAATCACTTAGTTCACACACTTCCTATCGATCAAATTTTCAAATTAAACCTTACGAACTCTAGATGTACTGAATACTACAAAGATTTGAATATACTGTATTTCAATTCTCGAATTATTATTACCAGTAATAGTGATGTGCACTCTGTAGGATTTTCGATCCTATAGAGTATATATTAACTGAGATTTAGATTTTAAAAATTCTTATCGAGTTGTTTCAAATTACAAAATATAAGCACATCTGAAATTCGAAAGTGTCTGATCAATTTTTAACAGCCCACAGCCCACCAGTGGCCAAGCGGTCTTCGTACCCTGTACACTGGGAGTTCGATCACGTATTCGCGCCTCGCTTGGACGGGCTGGCCACGTGGAGTTTTCCGGGTTTTCTCTACGTCTGTAGCTCCTAAATAGGGGCCAGTTTCCCTTAAAAATATCTCCCCGGAATGCATCCTCCTAGGCCAGGGGTGGCCAACAGTTTTTGCCCCCGGGCCGGATTGGAAAGAAAACTTTTTCCACGGGCCGAACCAGAGGCTGCCCTAGGAAGATTTTGAGGTGGTGCGAGATCTCATTGTTGTGTCACTCCGTAGAGACTGAATTGTAGATAGAGATTACAAATACATTTTTCACACTATCATGCTTTATCAACACTCTACGCTGTACTCAAGAGATTTGTAATGAAGGATTAACTCTAAACGCACAGTGACTTGTTGACGTTATTTTATTTTATTTTATTTTATTTTTTGGCGTCAGAATTTTTCATCGAGCTATTCGGACTTCAATATCTAATATTGAAAGATTGATCGCGGGCCATATAAATTCATTAGACGGGCCGGGTCTGGCCCACGGGACGTATGTTGGCCATGCCTGCCCTAAGCAGATCGCCCAAGTGTTGCGTTGCCATAACTTAACAAACAAACAATTTTTAATATTTAGTTAANCGATGAAAACAAGCTTAAGCAATGGCGTCATCAAACGGTGCACACTCAGTAAGTAATCCTACAATTTTTTGTTTATAGCATAGTTTATACGGATTATTCCCAAAAAATTATACGTGTTTTGGAAATGTTGAGTCAAATTAGTCTAGAATTGATTAATTTTATGGAAGAAAACCTTTCAAACAGCCATAGTCCGTAAACTGCACACGTGCCAGGCTGTGATTGGCTCATGTATTTAAGGATTCCTACTGCACACGTGCCAGGCTGTGATTGGCTCATGTATTTAAGGATTCCTACAACGTGAAATTCTTATAAAGTGGAATGTATCTACCGCGTTATAGGGGGGTCGACTGTAATAACATAAGCAGATTTTCTCCCTACTCCCTACTCCCTACACTAAGAGGGATTTTTTCAGGTCCATCATTGGTTCAGCCAGGCTCACAATGGGTCAATCAAATGGTGAGGGATAGAGCTTGATATATCCAGGACAGACCCCACTCTAGAAAATTTTTTGGGATTTTTCAACCCATTTGATTCTATTTTGGTCATCCAGGGAGAAAGAGATGCCAGCTGGATGGCCTTACCACCTTGGCCATCCAGCTGGCTAAAGATGTTATTATCTGTAACATAAGAAAAATATTAATGCAACTATATTAACTGATATAATCTGGCTTTCATCTAATAATCAGGTTTATAGATGTTTATATTTGTAAATAAGAAAAATGTACAGGCATTCTACATCCTTCTTATAGCCCAGATTGGGCACCATTTGATTCTGGTTGCTCCCAAATTTAAAGGTGATTTGAAAGAGCAATTACTTTCATCAGATGTCAACCTGTTGTACAAGAATGGAACATGGAAGAAGGAAAATTCAGAAAGTTTTTCATGAATGGAATGCAAAAATGGATTAAATGTTTAGAAAGATCTGCTACTCTAAAGGATAATCATATATATTCATTTCTTACCAGAAATGAATATGTATGATTAAAATAAATGATTTTTATTATTATTTAAAATCTATTATTACATTATTTGAACTCTTCTCAAACTACTTTTATAAAATGAAAACTTTATATATATCTTTGTAAACTCACTTGCAATCGTCAATTCAACTGATCTTGTCAGTTCTTATTTAAATAAAAAAAAATATTGAATTCTCACTGATTTTAAGTCTTTATTCTTTTTCAAACAATTTCCTTTCAGCATAGAAGTGGAAATTTTAGTGTTTTTTACAGATTTTTCTGATTTTAATATTATTCTTGTATTATTAAGTTGCCTTTGCTCACTATCTAGATATGCCATTGG